TCTGGCTGCTCCATGGTTCTATGCCTCTATCTATTTTGTTCATCAGTTTATTTTTGTTCATTAGATTCCACATATGAGTGAGATCATGTGATACTTGTCTTTCTCTGACTGGCTTATTTCATTTAGATTAATACTCTCCAGTCCCATCCATGTTGTACCTTATTTCTAACGAATCACTTGTGAAAAGAACTTGTAGCCTCCCATCTTAATAACAGCTATTACACAGCTGAAAAGAAAAAAAGAGGGAATTTTGTGGACCTGCTCTATGACACCTTGTTTTCTGTTTCTTTACTTTTGGCTCTTCATTATTTCTTTCCTTCTACTGTCTTCAAGCTTATCCTACAGTTAATTTATATTTAGGCTTTCCTATTCGCTTATATAAACTGCTATAGCTGTATCCTAAAAGTCTTGATATGTTAATATGTTTATCATTCAGTTCTAAATATTTTCTACTTAGATGTAAAGATGTTAGATTTTGCTGGCTAAATGGTCTCAACTCTGCCTTTGTTGCCAGAAAGCAACCAAAGAAACTATGTAAATAAATGAGGGTGGCTACATTCCGACAAAACTTCATTTACAAAAACAGGCAACTGGCCAGATTCAGCCAAGGGCCGTAGTGTGCCAGCCCGTGGTTCACAGGGTACCAGTGCTGTGGTCGTCGTTAGCACAGAAGTTCTGTGAAGCTCCATGCGTGCTTGAAAACCAATTACCTCCTCCTTGGCCTGCTCCACTTCTTTAAGCTTCAGGCCCGGCCCAAGTAAACTTTTGCTTTTGTTAAACTGTCACAGGATTAAGAGATTGGGTGTTTGGAATCAGACAGACCTCAGTTGCCAGCTGGGGGGCTTGGGACAGATTATGTAACGTCTCTTACCCTCAGGTTCCTCATCTATAACGTAGAAAAAAAACACGAGTACCTCCCTCATGGGGTTGGCGAAAGGAGACATTCAATGAGGTCAGCCATACAGAGCACCTGGCAGAGAGCCAGGCAGGCCGCAGCCGTCCCGAGTAGTGGTACTGGCATCATCTTGCCAATGAGCCACTGCTCCGTGAGGCAAGTATCCTTAAACCCCTTTGACCAAGAAACGAAGGCTGAAACGTGTTTAGCGAGCTTGCCCCAAGCTGACGGCCAGTGACACAAAACGCTGATTCACACCCAGAACTCCCTTCCAACAGGCTCTCGTGAACCCAACCACAGCAGCAGGAAAGGAATTCACTGGACGCCGCTCCAGGCGGGGCTGCACCCTGAGACACCCCGGGAAAGGAGTTGCGAAACGCCCGAGCACTCATTCCCCGCCGCGCAAGCTCAGTCCTCGCGGAGAAACCCGATTCCGGGGCACGGAGGCCCAAGGGCATGGGAGGTGCTGGCGGCGGCTGCAAACCAGCGCGGGTTCTGCAGCCAGCGCGCCCAGGGCTCGTCACCCGGACACGCTCTCCTCCGGGTCTGCTCCCAGGTGTCGCCCGGGGGCGCGCCCAGCGCCGCGCGCCTCGGCCTCCGCGACCTTGCTGCCCACGGTCGCGCTGCCCTTTTTGGCTCTAACGCTCCACGTGCCTGGGGCGCCTGGCGCCTAAAAATATCACCCTGACTGAAACCTCCCGAGCATGCCTTCGGTTTTTTAAAAAACCGGGCGCCGTCGCCACTTCGAGACGCACAAATCACAGCCCAGACTCGCTGCTGATTCAGTGGGTGACGCGCCGCTGAAGGTGGCGACGAATTCAGCGCCTCTGAGAGACCGAACTCCCCCTTTTCCCTCCCGGCCACTCGGCGCCCATCACGGAGCCTGAGGAGCGCCCAGCCGCCCGCGGGCCCTGACGGACGTTGGAGAAAAAACAGCCCAGGAATCTCCATTTCTCCCCGCTCAGACTAAGCCTGGAACTCTTCAAAGCCATATCCTGTGACAATCACAAGGGATTTCTCCGCCCCGACGGTGACGGAAAACTCGTGACTCTGACCTGAGCGCTGGGCCGGCGCAGAGAAACCCAGTCGGAGCCGCGAGTCCGGACGCGAGGAAGCCCCCGACAGGCGGCGCATGCGCAGTCCCGCGCCACGGGACCTCCTTCCCGCTGCCGAGACGAGGAAGCGGGACGCCAAATCCGTCCTCGCGCAGACGCCGCCGGGCGCGGAGCTGGGTGGCCGCCCTCCCGGAGGCGCGCCTGCGCACGTTCCCACGCACGCTCCGGC